CCTTTCTCATTTTCAGTTACACTAGTCATGCAGAGCCATTATATCAACATTAGAAAGTACACACAAACCATAAGAAGAAAAAAAAAAGAAATATATATGGTATTGAGGCTTCTAGAATTAGTCTGAGTTCTCCAGAGTAACAGAACCAATGACAGACAGACAGGCAGAGATATGTGGACAGCTCTTTGAGGTGAGTTTTACATGTTCATTCTCCAGCCAGGGAAATGGAACCTAGGAAAGTTATGTAACCAGCTCAAAATCAATAGCTGGTAAGTGGTGGAGGTGGGATTCAATCCAGGGATCAGGTCCCTGCCTCTAACCACTGCCCCTTACAGCCAAGGCAGATGACATTGTTGGCCCCGTGACCCATGAAATCTTCGAGAACAACATCGTTCATTTGATGTGGCAGGAGCCAAAGCATCCGAACGGTCTGATTGTGCTGTATGAAGTGAGCTATCGACGATACGGAGATGAGGTAAGACCCTGGGCCCTGGGCGTGAACCTGCAAGGCTGTCATTGGTGCCTCCTTCCTGTTCTTAAATTCTGGCCCAAATGCTTCTCGTTAGATGCTCTGCTACATACCTTTCCAGGGAGACGGTCAGAGATGCCTGTCCACAGACTGCGTTCAGCAGCTTCTCATGTTGCCTTTTAGCTCTGCCTACAAGTTGAATGGTGGCTGCCTGCATTTGTGTCCCTCCTGACATGACAGGAGACTCGTCTCACTTTAGCGAGAGTTACCTGATTCTGGGAACAGATAACTGAGAACTTTAATAAGTGACTGTTTGCTGGGTGCCTGTCTTTACTACCAGACGCTCTGCAGGGTGGTGGGTGAGCGCCAAGATGCACAAGACATGGGATCTAAGAACTGAAAAGCAGCTAAGCTACCTGAGGGCTCACTGTGTGCCCTGCGCATGCTAAGCTCTTCACCTGCATCTCATTTATTGCATCTAAGATGCCACGGAGGCCCCGTTATTTTTATGAGCCGCTAAGAAGCAGGAAGACACTGCCACCCCCAACTGTGGTCTCCAGGGTGCGTCCCAGTTTCAGAAATGTCAGATGTGAAGACGAAATGCCTCTTGGGTTCGATGAAAGGCAGTAAATCCTCAGAATAACAACGTGAGCGTCATACAGAGGCTTCCAGAATTTCAGTTGTGTCCAAGGCCATCCTAGTAAGAACAGAGTCAGGATTCAAACCCAAACCTACCTGGTGTTCTAGTCCAGGGGTGGGCAGCTTTTTTCTGTAAAGGGCCAGATAGTCGATGTGTCTGGCTTTGTAGCCAGACAGTCTCTGTTGCAAATATTCAACTCTGCCATTGTAGCTTGAAAGCCACCATATACATGATACGTAAATGAGTGGGCGTAGTGTGTGCCAATAAAACTTTATTTAGAAAAACAAGCAGTGGGTCAGATTTAGCCTGTGGGCCATCGTTGGCCAGCACCTTACAGAGGTTATAACAAAACTGTCCAGTGTCTTGGAACGTTGGCAATCCTGTAACCAGGTGGGCACAGCATGGCTTCCCCAAGCCAGAAAGGTGAGGTGGGCCTCCCTATGTGGTCCCAAATACTCAGCTTTGACCGTGATTTAAAACTGCAATCAGCAAACGATGGCCTGTGGTCCAAATCTGGCCTGAGGCCTGTTCTTATGGCTGCAGTGAGTTGTAAAAAGAAACAAAGAAGAATGTATATCTGCGAGTACAATGGCCAGCCCAGCCTCAGTATAGGAGGGGACCTCTCAGGGTTGCATAAAGGGAGGCATGACTCACAGAGGGTCATTATTGTAAGATGTATTACTATCTTATTCTGTATATATTAATCCCATGTGTCCTAAGGAAATAATTGGGAATTGGAGGGGAGTGTAAAACTTTATTCATGATATTTTCATCACCATCAAAAAGTGCAAGGCACGAGGTGGATGTCCGTTGGAAGTGGACACATAAACCAGGGCATATCCATAAAGTGGGTGGATGTGCAGCCTTTTATAAGGGTGTTTGGGAAGACCTTTGTTCAGTATAATGTAGAGGCTGAGATTACAGGCTCTGGGTGTTAGATCCTCGTCTTCCAGCAGCGTCAAGAACTCCCCCACTCCAGCCCCCCCTACCCCCCACCATCAAACTAGCTTGTGGCAGAAGGGAAGCTAATTCGTTCCCTAACCAAACAGTTTAAGGAGTTCAGACATGGCTGGATCCAGAATTCCTTTGTACCAGCTGCGTTGTAAGTGTCCTTGCAGTGAGCCCAGCAGCTCTTAGCTGTCCTTCTTTGGTTCTGTGGTATCAAGTCTCATATCCGCTCAGCGCCAAGCCTACCAGAAGCGAGATCATTGGTGTCCCAGCATGCCCATCCAGGCTGAGCCATGTGACACCCAGTGACCAATCACATGACCAGGGGAGTGCTGTGTGCTGATGGGGATGAGGATTATTTTTTTAATCCTCACCTGAGGAGCTATTTATTGATATTTATTTTTTTATTTTTTTTAGAGAGAGAGGAAGGAGGTGAGGGAGTGAGAGAAAGAGAGAGAGATTACCTCCTGTATGCTCCTCAACTTGGAATGGAATCGTCAGCCTAAGTGCACATACAGGGAATTGGTGGACTGATCATTGCTCCAACCAACTACGCCACCCGACGGTGGCGGGTTCATGAGAGGTTATTTAATAACAGCCTTATTAAGATACATTCGCCTACCATGAAATACACCCATTTAACATGTACAATGTAATGGTTTCCAGTACATTTACAGACTGGTACAACACTTACCACAGCCGATTTCAGGATATGTTCATGACCTCCCCCTCCCCCGCCATCACCCCCAATCTTCTCCGCCTCCTCTCTCTTCAGTTCCTGGCAACCACTTGTCCACTCTCTGCCTCTGTGAATCTGACTGACCTGGACGTGTCATATGAATGGATCATATAACATGTAGCCTTTTGTCTCTGGCTTTTTCATTAGCATAATGTCTTCAAAGTTCATCTACATTGTAGCTTATATCAGTAATTCATTCCTTGTTATGACTAAACGCTATTCCATTGTATAAAGAGGCCACATTTTGTTTATCCATCCATCTGTTGATGGACATTTGGTTATTTCCACCTTTTGGCTCTTAGGAATCATGCTGCTATGAACACGCATGTACACGTCTTTGTGTGGGCATATGTTTTAGTTCTCTTGGGTGCATGCCTCGGAGTGGAATTCCTGGGTCACATGGTAACTGGACATTTAACGTTGAAGGAAATGCCAGGCTCTCCCAAAGCAGCTGCACCCTTCGCTGTGCCCACCAGCAGCGTGTGCGGGCTGTGATTTCTGTGCGTCCTGGCCGGCCTGTCCGGGTCCGCCTTATTGGAGCCGTGCCAGTGGGTGTGAGGCGCTGCCTCACTGTGGTCTTGGTTTGCATTTCGGTGATGGCTCGTTTGGGTCTAGTTCTGTGCCCTTCCCTAACCAATGGGACTCTTCGAGCCCTGGAGCCCGGGTGGGGTTGAGGGAGGGAGGCAGGAGACACTCAAGGGGAGGTACAGCTACCAGAGGAAGTTTGGGGTGTTGTTGGAAGCAGGAGGAGAATATGGACTCTGTGCAGTGAGTGACAAGAGTTTATGCTGCAGACTGTCCTGATTTTATTCCTGCTGCTATGACCAACTCTCCCCACCTGCCTGGAATTTTTCAGGATTGAGACGAAGTCCTACGTCCTAGGAACCCCTCGGTCCCTGGTTGCCCTGTTGGCATTGGGCCCACTCCTGTGTCCTCCAGCTGCCGTGGGCTGTTCCTGAAGCCCATGGGTCAGCAGTGGGATCCCCATCATGAATCCCCATCCTCCTTTGCCCGGACCCCGATCCCAGACAGACCAGCCCTTTTCAACATGCAGGGGAACAGAGGGATGGGGGCGCGGTGGGGGGTGGGGGAGGGGGGTTAGGAGAGAGTGAGAGGTTACTGGAACTTCTTAAAAAGCCTGTTCATAGCCACGACTGGTCGATGGCCTCCAACAATCTATCTTAGTTTTTGTCTAGCATCGCTTTGATAAAAGTTAAAAATGTTTTGCACCACTATGGCTTTGCCAGCTTTACAAAACTCTCACTGGCTTCTTTTTTTTTTTTTTATGGTGTCTGTGAGGAGACTTATCAAGTTCTAGTTGCTTCCATCATGCTCCCTTCTCAGTCCCCACCCCTGAAGCATCTGAGGCAAATGACTGAGGTTGGAGGTTGCATGTCCCCTTGTCCTGGAGAGTTGCTACCTTTGGCTTCTATGTTTACTTGTTTGTCGCTTTCTACTTGGTGACTCATCCTTGTAAGAACCTTTGGACTAGAGCTCCCAGCCTCGCCTACAGCCGGTTTGTTTTCTGGTTGCTGTTGTCACATGATGGGCACGGGCGCTCTCAGTTCTTGCTCTCCTAACTTTTCCAGGCCAGTTCTCTGCACGCACTGTGAGCTCGGAGTTGTTTGGAAAGTTTTCAAAACTTGGCCCTGTGAGCCTCCTGCCTTTCCTAATAAGCTCTGGGTTCATCTCTAGCTGACGGTTTACCGCTGGGGTGTATACGCTCACCTTCTCTCTCATCAGACATTTAGGTAGGTCCCGCCTTTTAAATGAAGTGGAAGAAAGGTAACAACGGTCAGGAAGGGAGGAGAATTTAAACTTGTTAAGACATCAAGCCGTGTTTCCGTTTGGTTCTGGTGAGGCAGAGGCCAGGAGGCGCAGTGGAGAGCTTGAAATGCGATTTAGGGGACAGGGGTTCCTTCTTTCCTGCCTCTGGGACGTCTGGAGGTCTGGTGAAAATATCCCACAGTGGGCATGGCGCGAAGACAATTGATGGATCCTCCTCTACGACGTCCATGGAGGGGGACACGCAGGTGGTGAAGGGGTCCTCGCCGCTGGGCTCCGAGGGGCTGGGGACAGGAGCCGCCATCCGGCCGCGTGTGCTCGGTGTCCAGTGCACGTGTGCCACGCTGTGCTCTGTGCTCGCCAGCTCGATGCACCTCGCCCGGGCCCTCGGGCGTCATCTTCTCCAGGGTTACAAATGATGTTGTTTTGGAAGCTTCCTTCCTTGTTGGCGTTGAAGGTTTACTCAAGGGCAGCACTTAAACCTTTTATTCTGTAGTTCCTGGGGATTCCCATTGGTTTCCATCTGTTTTCTACCCATGCTGCCCTGGCTGCACTGAAAGGTCACTTCTGCCTTTCCAGTGACGAAATGGAATGCTAAAAGAGAAGAGAATATTAACGCACAACGCACACTCACTTAAGTTCCCTGATGAAGATGCGGAAGGAAGTGACTCCTGACCCGTCCAACGCAGAAAACTGATCCAGAGCCAGAGCTTGGGCATCAGGGTCAGGCCTCACTGCCATCTTCAAAGACAGGTGCTATTCGATCATTTCTTAAGAAAGATCAACTTCAAGAATGGACAGGAAATGTGGTTTATTATGTTTACATCTAAGCTGATTTTCTGAATGATTTGTGAAGCTGTTTATAGAAGATGAAAAATTAAGGAGCTCTCTGGCCCAGATTCATAGCTATTTGACTTCAGAAATTATTTTAGCTTTCTTATCAGTTTCATAGTCATTTCTGAAAACACTTTAACTGCATATTTAGGGATCAAGGGGCAATGTGCCGTGAATGATCTTATCTTAAGAAATATCCTATATAATAAAAGACTAATATGCAAATCGACCGAATGGAGGAACGACCGGTGGGACGACCAGTCGCTATGACATGCACTGACCACCAGGGGGCAGACGCTAAACGCAGGAGCACTGCTCAGCCAGAAGCCTCTCCTGCCTCTGCGGCAGCGCTAAGGAGCAGCGAGCAGGCGGGCGGTAAGGAACGAGGGGTCCTGGACTGCGAGAGGATGCAGGCCGGGCTGAGGGGGACTCCCCCACACACACACCCCCACACCCCAGTCCACGAATTTTGTGCCCTGGGCCTCTAGTATGGTAATAAAGTTGTACTTAATGTTGACTACTATGATTCCTACATGGAGCAGTTATATGAATAGTTGTAACCAAGAATTAACATTTCAGTTAAGCAATAAAGGTTTTATATTCTGCATTTTCTCAAAAAAACAAAACAAAAAAAAAACTATCCCACAGTGGGAGCAAGAAGTTTTGGAGCCAAAAAGTTTGGGGTTGCAAGGCCAGCCCTGCCACTCACCAGCTATAAGACCTTTGACTCATCATTTCACATCCTCAGTCACGGTGGGCAAACTATTTTTATATGCCTGGTTTTGTACAACTTGTGGGCTAGGAAATGCTTCCACATCTTAAATGGTTGTAATAAAATGGACAGAAGAATAGTATTGCGTGGTGCCTCCACTGTGTTTGATTGCAGATGCTGCAGGTGGGGATTTGTCTCTGGCTGCTGGTGGCGGCGGGTTGAGTTAGTGGCAGTGACCATCTTCCCCGTTGAAGCTGAAAATATTTACTCTCTGGCCCTTTACAGCAGAAGTTCCGACTTTCCCCTAAGCCTCACTTTCCTCGTCTCTAAGGAGAGCTAAGCCATGGGGTTGTTGTAAGAATTACATGAAATAATCTAGGTCAAATGTTTGGCTGTGGTTTAGGAAGAGTGGCTGTTATCAACCACAGTAACCTGTGTTCCGGTAGAGCTAAGGTTCTACAATTCCAGAAGCCTCCAAGTTTCTTGCATGTTGCACTGATTGAGCCTTAACTCCTGTGTGTCATTCCTGAGCAGATCTTGTCCATGACATTCCCACGCAGGCTGGGCGCTCCCGCGCATACGGAGCTCAACCCGACACTCGTGTCTCCTCCTGTCTTCCAGGAGCTGCACCTCTGTGTGTCCCGCAGGCACTTCGCCCTGGAGCGGGGCTGCAGGCTGCGCGGGCTGTCGCCCGGGAATTACAGCGTGCGAGTCCGGGCCACCTCCCTGGCGGGCAATGGTTCCTGGACGGAAGCCACCTATTTCTATGTGACAAACTACTGTGAGTCTGCTCAGTGACTGGGACTAGTAGGGGCTGGGCTTGCTGCTGGGAACAGCAGAACATTTCTGGGAATAGTCGGGAGATTCTAGACCAGGGGGAGCGGGACCTGGGTGGGCAGGGGTGGGGTGTGGCCTCTGCTTGGCTGGCTGGAATTTCTCGGACCTGGCGTGGTGGGAGTATGGAAAGTGGGGTGATTCTTGCTGGGATGGTTGTGGTCAGGGTCAGGACTAGGATGAGGTTTTTGACACCAGCTGGGTGTCTTGCACTGTGATTCTGACGCTGCCACTGGAGTTAGCACAGAACCCACAAGGTTAAGAGCACAGTTTTCAACAAGACTGCTCTCACCTAGATGGCAGATGCAAGTTTGGGGATTCTCCAGGCCACCTGCCCTTCTGGCCAACTGGCCACAAATTCGGGGTTTCCGACCCTTTCCTATTAGACCCTTTGCTAGAGTGGCTCACAGAGCTCAGGAAAGTGCTGTAAGTACAAACACAGTCAGGAGCACCCAAACGGAGAGACAGCCTGGACACAGGGCTGCCGTGTCCTCTCCATTGAGTAGGAAACGTCATGTCACCCTCCCGACATCCGCGTATTCATCCTCTGAGCTTTGCCGTCGGAGTTTTCCTTGGGGTTTCATTTTCTAGGTGTGATTGATCGAAGCACCGAGTCTCGAGCCTCCCCCCTCTCTCGAGGTCAGGCGGGCTGAAGGTCTCACCCTCCCCTCACAGGCTTGCTCTTCCGGTGACCAGCCCATCCTGAGTCATCCCACCTCTTAGCATAAGCTCTGGTGTGTTCCAAGAGGCTCATCAATAACCGACACTCTACTCCTTAGGATACCAACCATTTGTAATCTGCCTCTTAAGAACCAGGGACACCTGAATAAAATGCACAGGAGAACATCAGAGTGGCAAAAATGTTTGTAGCATCACTGACAGAGTTAATGTCCTTAATATAAAATGAATATATGGTTGACTCCATGGGTTTGAACAGCGTGGATCCACATATATACAAATTTTTAAAAATAAATAAGTGTATTATCCTTTATGTTTTTCTTAATGACATTTTCTCTTCTCTAGCTTATTTTATTGTGAGAATACAGTATATAATACCGATAGCTTACAAAATATGTGTTACTCATCTGTTTATGTTATCCGTAAGGAGGCTATTAGTATTGGAGTTTTGGGGGAGTCAAAAGATGAATGCAGATTTTCAGCTGTGGAAGGGGGTGTCGGTACCCCTCACCCTTGTGTTGTTCAAGGGTGAGGAAAAGATAGCTGTCCTAACATAAAAATAAACAAAGAGCATAGATATCCCATTTAAAAATACATAGAAAACATAAGAAAAAAGTCCATATTCTCTCAAAATCACACTAAAAAAGAAAAAATGCAAATTATAACAAGTTGTAATTTTCAAGTTATCAAATTGGCAAAGTTGTTATTGGTTTCTTTATTTTATAATTACAATAATTGGTGTTGTCCAAGAGCTCAGGCACATGGAATTGTTCTATGGGCGGTGAGTACTAACATGTTTTAATAACGTGCATGAGAAGTCTTAGCAGGGATCTCACTCTCTGAGCCCACAGCTTGGGCCCTAGAAACGTACAGGAAGGAAACAGCTGTCTAAGACAGACACGTGTTCACAGAAATTCAGCACCGCGTTGCTTACAATAGCCAAACATCTGGACCGTTAAATGCTACACTTAGATTACAGGTGACCCTTGAATAGCACAGAGGTGAGGGGTATGGACCCTCCTGTGCCATTGAAAATCCTTGTATAACTTTCAACTCCCCAAAAACTTAACTACTTATATATAACTATATATATATATATATATATATATATATATATAACTATATATATATAATATATATTACATACTGTATTCTTATAATAAAGTGAGCTAGAGAAAAGAAAATGTTAAGAAAATCATAAGGAAGAGAAATACATTTACAATACTGTGTGTATTTATCGAAAAAAAGTCTATGTATAAGTGCGACCACACAGTTCAAACGCATGTTCAGAGGTCAACTATACTTTTTAAAGAAATTCACATCCTATAACGGGGAGAGAGCAAGGCACCAGGGTGCAAAACGTAAGTAGGTGCTCACGCTCCGGGGGTGACCTGCTCTTGCACGACCCAGAGCAAGGGTTCCTTTCATTCTCTCAGATTCTGCTGAGACAGGCTGAGTCCTAACCCCTCGTCAGCCTCCAGCTTTCCTGCTCCTTAGGAAAAAGGGAGGGGAGGGGGGATATTTAACTGCACAACTGCACAGAAGCAGGCCATTTCTATGTCTCATGTCACATTCAATCCCCAAACATCTGTGGAGACTCAGCCGGCCAGAAGCCACCGCACACGCACTGAGTTTGCTGCCAGCTACGGAGGTGCGCGGTGCGGGAGGGCGAGATATCTCAGGGTGGAGCTGGCCACCGGAGGCAGGATGGGACGTTGGTCAGAGCTTACTCCGATGGCCTGGGTCAAACGCATGCTGCCCTGTGGGTCAGTTCTGGGGCTTTGGGCAAGGCCCTCTCCTCCCTGAGCCCGTTTCCCAGTCTGTTGGCTGGCAGGCAGAGCACCTCCCACCTTGCCGTATGGGGCGATTAAATAAGGTCACCACACAGAGACTTCAAACAGTGCCTGTTCAGTGAACTGCTATTGTTGAAGGACCCAAATGACGAGATTCCTTCTCTGACTTCTCCCAACCCATTTTTTCCTTGGCTTGGAAGAGACTGAGTAGATGGGCCTGTTTACAAGTTCTGACAACTTGGCCTTATATGCAAATTTAAAAAATAAAGGCCACATAGCATTTCTTCAGCTGGTTTAAAAGAGGTTCTTTGGGGAAATGCACTTGATCCTGCCCGGTGCTCTTCCTGGCAACAAGGTCACCCACCAAGGTCCGTGGGCCAGCCGTCGAGTGAGAAGGGGCAGGACCCCCCAGCACACAGAGAACACTTCCTGGTGGACTTTTCATCCGCCAGAGCTGCTGTTTGGAATCAGGACAGTCTGTTTAATTTGCGAGGCTCAGTGCAAAATGAAAATGCAGTACCCTTGTTTAAGAATTAAAACTTTCAAGATGATGGCCATGGAATATGCAACCCAGAGCATGGCCCTCCAGAGAGTGGGCCTGGGTGGCGCCTGGGTTGCATGGTGAGGAAGCTGGCCCTGGGCGGGAAGATAGGCGGGTGGCAGGGTGTGCTTCCTGACTGCGGCCCTCTGAGCCCTGCCCAGCCCCAAGGAGCCAGATGGTGTTTCAGGACTGCTGGGAACCGGGGCCTAGGACACCAGCAGGGAGAGGCTCGGGGACAAAAAGAAAATGGGGGACAAGTGTGTGTGGCCACTGTTACATTTGTGACTGTGATTTGTGATGTGAACACGTTTTGATACGAAACATGTGTTGTCTTACTCTATTTCAGTAGACGTCCCCTCCAATATTGCAAAAATCATCATCGGCCCCCTCATCTTTGTCTTCCTCTTCAGTGTTGTGATTGGAAGTATTTACCTGTTCCTGAGGAAGAGGTTAGTGCAGTGGGGGATGCTGAACAGTCGGCTTTCCAGAAAAATTAAGCTGATATATAGATATAGATATAGATTATAGATATAGATATAGATACAGCTGTATCTGAATTTGTTATAAATTTTGCTGATCTCAAGGATGTGTAGCTTGCAATTTACAGATAATGGCCGTAATAGAATATACAATGCGGGTTTATCGTAAATTCCCTCACCAAATGTTTTCGTTGATTGTTTTTTCTGAACCTTTGTATCTATAGCCAGCCTATGGTTGCAATTGATAAACAAGTGTTCATGAATGTTGATTGATATTTTGTTTATGTTAAAGAGTAGGATAAAATTGAAATAAGACATATATGTTCACAGGAGTGACTTTGCAGAATCAGATAATAATTTTTAAATAATATTTTCTCACTATTTTGTGCCATTTACGGCATCATGGCTACAGATGACACATTTAAGTTTAATCTGCATTATTAACATTTTTTCTGTCACTTTTTCAATTTCAAGCTACAGACATGATGTCACTGAGTGTAGAGTTGGGAAGGGATGTACAGTTGCTCACTATTGTATAGTATCTCTGCCATACATATAGAATCTATACTAATAAAAGGGTAATATGCTAATTAGACCCGGTCGACTGGACATCTTCGATCGTCCAGTCCTCCTTCCAGTTCTCCTTCTGGACAAAGCCATGGTGGCAGGGTCCGAGGCAGAGGCGGTTAGGGGCAATCAGGCAGGCAGGCAGGTGAGCAGTTAGGAGCCAGCGATCCCGGATTGCGAGAGGGATATCCGACTGCCGGTTTAGGCCCACAGGGATCGGGCCTGAACCGGTAGTCGGACATCCCCTGAGGGGTCCTGGATTGGAGAGGATGCAGGCCGGACTGAGTCCCCCCACCCCCCTGCATGAATTTCATGCACCGGGCCTCTAGTAATGTAAATAAATGAGGTGATGTAGACGGCCTTAAGAGCACTGATCAGCCCTAGCCAATTTGGCTCAGTGAATAGAGCGTCGGTCTGCAGACTGAAGGGTCCCAGGTTCAATTCCAGTCAAGGGATCATGCCCAGTAAGGGGTGTGCAGGAGGTGGCCAATCAATGATTCTCTCTCATCATTGATGTTTCTATCTCTCTCTTCCTCTCTGAAATCAATAAAAATATGTATTTTTTAAAAAGAGCACTGATCATAGTAAGATGTAGTATGATAATGAGGATGTGGTGAATTTTGAATATTATTACCTTTGCTTTTATTATGATTTATTTAATTGTAAGCCTGTTTTGTTTGTTTGTTTGTTTGTTTAGTTAGTTAGTTAGTTAGTTAATTAGTTAATCCTCACTCGTGGATATTTTTCCCATTAATTTTTTAGAGAGAGTGCAAAGGAGGCAGGGAGAAGGGGAGAGAGAGAAACATCGATATAAGAGACATGTGGATGTGAGAGAGACACATCGATTGGCTGCCTCCCGCATGAGCCCCAAATAGGGCTGGGCATCGAACCTGCAGCCCAGGTACATGCCCTTGATCTGGAATCGAACCCATGACCCTTTGGTGTGCAGGCCAGCACTCTAACCACTGAGCAACCCGCCAGCACTTATTGACAGTTGTTTCTTGTGACCCGGGATGAGATGGCTACAGAGCCGCACTAGTGGGTAGATGCTGCTGATAAAGGTGCTGTTTACACTGGGGAGGCCTGTAGCCTGTAGTGACCCATGAAGTCGCGCGAGAATCTCAAACTGGGATGCCTCCCTTTTTTCTCGTCCAGGCAGTCAGACGGGCCGGTGGGACCACTCTATGCTTCTTCAAACCCTGAGTACCTCAGTGCCAGCGATGGTGAGTACCATCCTGCTCCCTGTGGGTGGCCAGAGTCCTGCTGTCCGGTTTCCTTTGCCATCGTTGTCAGGTGAAAGTCGAGGGTGACACCCCAAGGGACTGAGACGAGCCCTGTTCACTGAGTGGAGACCTGCCCCTGCCGCAGAGACACCGCGCTGGGGGCCCCTGGGCCTGTGGAGCTTGGGGACTGTGCCAGAGCTTGCTCAGGGTCAGAACGAGAACGCAGTGTCTGAACCTGGTGCCCAAGCTGGGAGGTGGGAATTGGGAGCCAAAATGGGAGATTGTGGCTGGGGTGAGGAGGACAAGAAGCAGGGACATGAGGGTGGGTTGGAGGTGGTGTGAGTGCCAGGGACACACCTACTGTTGGCTGCTGAGAATGGATGTGATGCTGGTGGGGGGAGCAGAGGTCTGACACCCGTATTTTCCCTGATTGTCCCAAAGGCAGTGAGTGGCCGCTGTAGACAGGCCTGGCCGTTCCTTCCCAGGGGAAGGCACCTGTTGCATGACAAGTTTCTAAACTACTTCATGCAGCAAAAGTAAAAAAGTGACTTTCAAGGCATGAGCACCATTGCCCAGCAGGACAGGGGCTTGGGAGACGGGCGGTGTTTTGGGTGCCCAGGTTCGTTTCCATCATTTCCGATGAGACGTACAGACTCGGGTGACTCATGGAGGAAGGTGCTTATCCTCTCCCGAGTCTTCTCTCCTCGGTGTGTAGATGGCTGTCTCTCCCTGTGCCCACACATGGTCTTCCCTCTGAGAGTCTGCGTCCTAACCTCCTTCTTGTAAGGACACCGGTCATGTCGGACTAAGGCCCACCCTGTGACCTCACGTTACGTTGATTTTCTCTTTAAATACCTTATTTCCAAATATAGTCACATTCTGAGTCCCAGAGTTAGGGGTTCAACCTATGAATTTGGGGAGGGACACAGTTAGCCCGTCACCGTGATGGCACAGGGGAAGGCAGGGACCACTGGGCTTTTCTTACCCGGCCTTCGTGCATTTGTCTGCATTCATTTGCTGTATAACAAACCCCCCCGAACAGTGGCTTAAACCCACCATTAGTTAGTTCACAATTTGGTGGGTCTGCTCCCAGGGCTGTGCTCGGCTGGCAGTTCTGGTTTCACCCACGTGGCTGCACCTGCCTGTGGACCAGCTGACACTTGGTGGTCCTGGGTGGGCTCACTTCCGTGTCTGGGTTTCACAGGCTGGTGGTCCCCAGCCCCTTGGCACTTTGCAGAAACAGCAGCCTTAGATGGGAAGTGGCATCCGTGGACAGCGGGTCTCTGAATCAGACAGATGGGATGGGATGCAGGCGCAGCTCGGCACTTACCGGGAAAGACCCTGGGCTGGGGTGGCTTCTCTCTGAGTCTCGGCCATGCCCTCCAGGAGGGCAGGGACCCATACTTGGCTGTGTGCCTGGCATAGGTCCTGGATCACAGAAGTCACTTAATGAACATTTGTGGGGTCTAGGGTGGGAGGTGGCGGGGGTCCCCTGAAGACACTGTGTAGGTAAGTGAGGAGTAGTGTTCCCATGTTCTGTGTATGTGCCGGACGAGTGGGAGGTGCCTCGGGAGAAGATCACACTCCTGCGAGAGCTGGGGCAGGGCTCCTTCGGCATGGTGTACGAGGGCAATGCCAAGGACATCATCAAGGGCGAGGCAGAGACTCGAGTGGCGGTGAAGACAGTCAACGAGTCGGCCAGCATGCGGGAGCGGATCGAGTTTCTCAACGAGGCCTCCGTCATGAAAGGCTTCGCCTGCCATCACGTGGTGAGTCCCCAAGTGCCCTGGGAGCAGACAAAGGCTACCTTTGTTCCTTAGAGAGGAGGTTCTGGCAGTAATGGAGAACGAAAGGCATGGATTTGAGCAAAGAGTTGTAACCCAAGAGACCCAAACTCAGGTGACAGCTACACTGCGCTCCAGAGAGAAGGAAGAAGGGCAGGATTTATAAAGGCAGAAACTGCTGGTGTAATTCTCCCCACAAGGGCAGCGGGGGAGGTCACCAGGCTGGTTAGTTGCAGATGCCATGGGGGGTGGAAACTGGCCCGTGTTGTTCCCGGATGTTTATGACTTGGCCTGGCGCTGAGTTTAGCAGCGGGTTAGCACGTGAGTAGCAGCTCCAGGAATGGAGGCCTAAGACATGCAGAAGCACCACTTCCCTCAGAGCCTTGCAGCCCCCTCAAGCGCCTCTCCCAGTGACGCGCCTTCCTTTTACTTCTTTCCATCATCACTTGCCTGTGGGTTCCCTCTCCCGCTCTGCTGCTCCCCCCTGTGCACAGAGCATGAGGACAGCGGGTGTGGACCCTGTCCCGCCCCAGCCCTCCAGTCCCACCTCACCTGGAACCAAACTCTTTTTGCCCGAGTGCTTTCTGGAATCTTCCATCTCATCGTCCTCTCAGCACCTCTTTAACCCTTAAACACACAGTGTGCACCTTCCCGCTGCCCCACCCCCACAGGTCGCACACACTCTTCCTGCCTCTGCTTCCACGTTGCCTCGTTTCTCCGTGAACCTCGTGTCCCTTCGTCTCCGCCCCACGCGCCCTCACAGAGTCCCGCTCTGTGCCCAGCCCCGTCCCATGTCTGTGATGAGTCAGCTTCTGCCCTTGTGGTGCTTCCAGCCCAGCGTTGCGGGCGCTCCAACCCACTGGGTCCCTTGTTAGGAGGTGCCGCTGTGGCACAAAGGAGAGCAGGGCGGGGGCGGGGTTGGGAATTCGGGAGTGGGGAAGGTGTATTTGACAAAGACATAAAGATATAGGGACAGCCATGTGGACATGTGAGGGCACAGAGCTTCAGGCAGAGGGAGCAGCTGTGCAGAGTCTGACGGTGGGAATGCGCCACCCACCAGACTGGGAGTTCCGAATTCCCCTCCTGTTCTCCCTCCCCAGGTGTTGACCCTGGCATTTGATCGGTCAGGCTAGGGCAGCCGTGGGCAAACTACAGCCCGTGGGCCGGATCCGGCCCGTTTGAAATGAATAAAACTAAAAAAAAAAGACCGTACCCTTTTATGTAATGATGTTTACTTTGAATTTATATTAGTTCACACAAACACTCCATCCATGCTTTTGTTCCGGCCCTCCGGTCCAGTTTAAGAACCCATTGTGGCCCTCGAGTCAAAAAGTTTGCCCACCCCTGGGCTAGGGTTTACCCGGGAGCAGGATGCTGTGTGTGACCAGACAGGGAGGCCTCCGCGAGTTGAAATCTTCCCATAGACCCTCACCTGAGACCTCCCTAACCCCCCACATGCTTGCTCTGCAGGTGCGCCTCCTCGGGGTGGTGTCCAAAGGCCAGCCCACGCTGGTGGTGATGGAGCTCATGACTCACGGAGACCTGAAGAGCCACCTGCGTTCCCTGCGGCCTGACGCCGAGGTGAGCTGCCCGGGCTCCACAGGGCACTCCCTCCTGGCCCTGACCCAGTGTCGCTGAGCACAGCCTCCTGTTTTGACTTTAGAATAACCCCGGCCGACCTCCCCCGACCCTGCAAGAGATGTTTCAGATGGCAGCGGAGATTGCTGACGGGATGGCATACCTGAACGCCAAGAAGTTTGTGCACCGGGACCTCGCAGCTCGAAACTGCATGGTCGCCCACGATTTTACCGTCAAAATTGGAGGTTTGTCTGCCTTTCTGCTTGGGAATGTATGGCCCAGGTCACGTTCCGTTTCAGCAGTAATTGTCTGTCATGGGTTGTTAAAGCTTTTCCAGTGCAAAGTGGCAAGGCTTGGGATGGACCTCTGATCCCCACACTGTAATTTTTTTTCCCAAAAGTTCTTTTTCTTTACTTTAAATTTTAAATTTTTTTATTTTTTAATTGCATTTTACATTCATATGAGTTTTGACAATCGTATACTTTACAAAGTTCCACCCTGTGATTTAATTGCATTTGTTTACTAACTCACCCACTCACTTCTTTAAATAATGTTAGTGTACCCTGTATGTGCAAGCCACTGAGCAAGTCCCCCTGGCTTTTCTGCCCTCATGAGCTTGCAGTCCTTATCCACACCGTCTAGCACAGTAGCCACTGGCCGCATGTGCCCACCTGCGTTTAAGTGAACTTACATTAAGTCAAATTAAAAGTTCAGCTTGCCGGTTGCCTGGGCCACACTTCAGGTGTCCAGTAGCCACCTTAAGCCCGGTGGTTGCCATATTGGACAGTGTGGGTATAGACCAGCCGTGGGCAAACTACGGCCCGCGGGCCGGATCCGGCCCGTTTGAAATGAATAAAACTAAAAAAAAAAAAGACCGTACCCTTTTATGTAATGATGTTTATTTTGAATTTATATTAGTTCACACAAACACTCCATCCATGCTTTTGTCCCGGCCCTCCGGTCCAGCTTAAGAACCCATTGTGGCCCTCGAGTCAAAAAGTTTGCCCACCCCTGGTATAGACCGTGTTCATCACCACAGGCAGTCTGGACAGAGCTGTTCTAGGTGAACAATACAATGGTTCACACTCAGACAAGCTAAAGAAGGTGGGGAAGGAAATGGACTTCCTCTCTGAAAAGAGGCACCATTTCAAGACTGGGAGGATTAGAAGTTGACCTGAGTGACAGCATCCCAGGGGTCGTTACATGCAAAGGCCACAAGGCCCGGCCATGGCTGAATGTGGAGGGTACAGAGCAGCAGGAGCTCTGCGGTTAGGGAGAGAGGCGGGAGCCAGACCCAGAAGGGGCTTGCAAGTCACGGCAAGTCACCTAGACGTTATCCTAGGCCGTCCGAGCAAAGCGGGAAGTGATATAATTCTCTTTATGAACCAAAAAAGACATTCCCCTACGTTAGCAGTCAGTGGAAAGCAAGGAGTGATATTATCCTCTTTATAATCCCCAAAGCTCTTATCCTGTATCAGCAAGGGAAGCAGGAAATGGCAAAGTGATGTCATTCTATGGATGTAGCTTCTCTTGGTCAGTGGCTGTCAGAGTCAGGATGGAGGGAGGGTCCTGTAGGTGAGAGAGGGTGTCAGGCCTGCTCGGTTCTGGGACAATGGAGAGAAATAGATAGTTAGAGAGGGGTGTGGAATGAGAGTGGGTAGGACTCCCCACTGTTTCTCATTGTGAGGAAAGGGTATGGTCGAAAGAGGACCCAACTCTGGGTTTCTGGCGGGGCAACTGGCTGTTAGGTGGGGCCGTATCCAATGGGGGGAAGTAGGTTGGCTGCAGAGAGTTAATAATTCGATTTGGGTTACATGTGAGTCATGGGTGAGAAGGAAGTGTTTCTGAGAATGGGATTCCCAAGCTCCGGCCAGAACATCGGTTTTTTGCTACTTTAAATGGTGGCCCTCCTCTTCCTCCACATCCCATGAGCACCCTCAGAATCCATTCCCCTGGGATTTGGTGGCCACAGGTGAGCCTCTCTGAGGGCTCGGCCAGGGGTGGGGCTGTGAAGATGGTGGACACCTGAGCCACAGGCTGAAGGGTAAGAGTTTGTGAACTGTTTGTTGTCAGACTTTGGAATGACCAGAGACATCTACGAAACGGATTATTACCGGAAAGGTGGCAAAGGTCTGCTTCCTGTGAGGTGGATGGCACCTGAATCTTTGAAGGACGGGGTCTTTACCGCTTCTTCCGACATGTGGTGAGTTGTGCGTGGGCCGGCTGATAGAGCGCTGGGCTTGAATTCCAGGATGCTCCGCTAGTCTGAGTGAAAGGGGCAGTTAACACCGGCCTTCCTCCTGGCCATCAACAAAATGAAGGGAAGGTCATGTCTGAGGACCCTTGCACAGCTACTGCTACGTTCCAGTGGGGACTGATTTTATAGGCATTTCTGAAGGCAGCATAAATCTTTTTCTCATTTTTATTTACTTATGTGTTTGTTTTTCGATTACAGTTCACATTCAATATATTATGTTAGTTTCAGGAGTACAGCGTAGTGGTTAGACATAATATTTACGAAGCAATCCCCCCATAAGTCTAGTGCATCATACATACTTAGTACAGTATTATGAACTATATTCCCTATGCTGTACTGTGACTGTTTTGTAACTATCAATTTGTACCTCTGACTTCCTTTTTCTTTCCATCCAAAACCCCCAACTCCCCCTCCCATGTTAACTCTCAGTTTGTTCTCTGTATCTAGAGTTTGTTTTTGTTTTGATTGTTAGCTTATTTTGTTTTTTAGATTTCACATGTAAGTAAATCACAATGTATTTGTCTTTCTCTGTCTGCCTTATTTCACTTGGCATAATACCCACTAAGGCCATCCATGTTGTTGCAAAGGGTAAGATTTTGTTCTTTTTAATGGCTGAGTAATATCCCATTGCATGTATGTACCTCGTCTTCTTTATCCAATTGTCTACTAATGGGCACGTTGTATCTTCTTCACTTTCTTTTTTTCAATATGCTATAGTTTTTTATAGTTCAATATGCTATTGGTCTTTTACCTCCTTGGTTAAGTTTATTTCTAGGTACCTTTTTTGTTGCAATGGTAAATTGGATTTTTTTCTCTTTCTGAGAGTTCATTTTTCGTGTATAAAAATGCCATCAATTTCTGGATGTTAATTTTGTGTCCTGATACTTTGCTGAATTAATTTATTAAATTTAGTAGTTTTTTTGGTGGAGCTTTAGGGTTTTCTGTGTACAATATTATGTCACATCCAAATAATGACAGTTTTATTTTCTTCTTTCCAATTCAATATCTTTTATTTTTTCTTTTCTGATTGCTGTGGCTAGGACTTCCAGTACCATGATGAATAAAAGTGATGAAAGGGCATTGCTGTCTTATTCCTTATCTTAAAGAAAACTCTTTGAGTTTTTGCCCATTATGATGTTGGCTGTAGGTGTTTCATATATGGCCTTTATTATGTTGATATATGATTCCTCTATTTTCACTTTGCTGAGAGGTTCATGAGAGATTGATTATAAACGGGTATTGGATTTTGTCAAATTCTTTACTGTGTCTATTAATATGATGTAATTTTTGTCCTTGATTTTGTTTATGTGATGTATCACATTTATTGATTTGCAAATATTGCAACAACCTTGCATCCCTGGAATAAATCCCACTTGGTGTATGATCTTTTTAATGTCTTGCTGGATTCTATTTGCTAATATTTCGTTGAGGATTTCAGAATCTATGTTCATCAGGGATATTGGCCTATTATTTTCTTTCTTTGTAGTATCTTTATCTGGTTGTTGAATTAGGGTAATGCTGTCCTTGTAAAAAGAGCTTGAAAGTCTTCCCTTTTCTTGAATTTTTTGAACAGTTTGAGGATGGTAGGTGTTAGTTCTTTGAATGTCTGGTAAAATTTGCCTGTGAAGTGTGGATGAGGACTTTTGTTTGCTAGGAGTTTTTTTTTTATTGCTGCTTCAATTTCATTATTTTTAATCAGTCTATTTGGGTTTTCTGATTCTTGCTGGTTGAGTTTTTGAAGACTGTATGTTTCTAGGATTTTGTCCATTTCACTCAGCTTGTCCAATTTGTTGGCATATAGTTTTTCTTAGTAATGTCTTACAATCCATTGTATTTTTGTGATGTCAGTTGTTGCTTCACCTCTTTCATTTCTGATTTTATTTGGGCCCTGTCTCTTTTTTCTTGATGAATCTGGCTAAACATTCCTCAATCCTGTTTATCTTTTCAAAGAACCAGCTCTTGGTTTCATTGATCTTTTGTTTTTTGTTTGTTTGTTTTTATATTATTTATTTCTGCTCTGATCTTTATTATTTCTTTCTTCTACTTACTCTGGAGTTTTCTTGTTGTTCTTTTTCTAGTTCTTTAAGCTGTACAGTTAGATTGTTTATTTGAGCTTTTTCTTGTTTCTTGAGGTTGGCCTGTAATGCTATGAACTTCCCTCTCAGGATTGCTTTCTCTGTGTACCATAGATTCAGGATTGTTGTGTGTTCGTTTTTATTTGTTTCCAGGAAATTTTTTATTTTTTCCTTGATCTCGTATTCATTGTTTAATAACATGCTGTTTGGCCTCCACGTGTTTAAATGTTTTTAAGGTTTTTTATTGTAGTTGATTTCTAGTTTCATGCCATTGTGACTTGAGAAGATGCTTGATATGATTTCAATCTTCTTGAATTTGTTAAGACTCATTTTGTTTCCTAACATTTCATCTGTCTTTGAGAATGTTCCATAGACATTTGAGAAGAATGTATATTCTGTGGCTTTGGTTTGAAATGTTCTGTAAATATCAATTAAATCCATCTGATTCAGTGTTGTTTAAGGTTGCTATTTTCTTGTTGCTCTTTTCTCTGGAAGATCTATCCAGTGATGTCATTGGGTGTTAACATTGTGTACTATGATTGTATGGCTGTTGATCTCTCCCTTAAAGTCCTTCAAGAGGTTTTGTTTTTTTATATACTTAGGTGCTCCTATATTGTGTGCCTATTTGTTTACCAGGGTTATATCCTCTTGTTGGACCGATCCCTTTAGTATCATGTAGTGACCTTCGCTGGCTCTTGTTATGGCCTATGTTTTGAAGCCTATTTTGTCAGATATAAGCATTGCTATTCCAGTTATTTTTTGTTTCCTTTTGCAAGGAAAATTTTTTCCACCCCTTCACTTTCATCCTGTGTGAGTGTTTGTTCTGAGGTGGGTCTCTTGTGGATAGCATACATATGGGTCATGTTTTCTTATACATTCAGCTACCCTATGCCTGTTGATGGGAGCATTTAATCCATTTATGTGTAAAGTTGTTATTGATAGGTACTTATCACCATTCTTATTATTTATGCCTATGCTCCTCTCTCTATTTCTTCTTCTTCTTACAGCACTCACTTTACCATTTCTTGCAGTGCTAATTTAGTGGTAATAAACTCCTTTAGTCTTTTTTTCCCCCCTGGTCTGGAAAGCACTTTATTTCACTTTAAATTTAAAATGACAGCCATGTTGGATAGAGTAGTCTTGGTTTCAGATCTTTGCGTTTCATAACTTTGAATGCCTACGCAGTTCCCATCTGCCTGTATTGTTTGTTTTGAGAAATCAGCTGACAACCTTATTGGAACTCTCTTGTAGGTAACCTGTCTCTCTCTTGTTGCCCATAAGATTCTCTCTTTGTCTTTAATGTTTGCCATTTTAATTATGATGTGCCTTGGTGTGGTTCTTTTTGAGTTCATCTTGATTGTGACTCTCTGTGTGCCCTGAACTTGTGTGACTTTTTCCTTCACCAGTTTAGGGAAGTTTTCTGTCATTATTACTTCACACAGGTTCTCTATCCCTTGGTCACTTTCTTCTCCCTGTGATACCCCTGTGTTGCTGATATTGTTATGTTTCACGTTGTCCCAAAGTTCCCTTAAACTATCTTCATGCTTTTTAATTATTATTTTTATTATTTTTGCTGCTCTGATTGAGTGATTCTTTTTCTACTTTGTCTTCTAATTTGGTGATTTGGTTCTCTGCTTCTTTTAACCTACTGTTTATTCCTCTATTTAAGATATGTTATTCAGTTGGTTGTTTTTCATGGTTTCTATGAGCATTCTTAAAACCATTACTTTGTACTCTGTTTTCTGATCATTTACTTGCCTCCATTTCACTTAGCTCTTTTTCTGGAGATTCCTCCTGTTCTTTCATTTGGAACCTGTTTCTTTGTTTCCCCATGTTTGCTGTTTCTTTGTGTTTGTTTTGATGTATTGCATAGAACTGCTATTTCTATCTGTCTTGGTGGGGTGGCCTTCTGTAGTGGTTGTCTTGTGGGATCCAGTGGTGTAGTCTCCTTGATCTTTTGAACTGGGTGCTCTATGAATGTCCCTTATGTGGTTTATGTTGGCCCTCCTATTGTATTTGGGTCTCAATTGCTATTTTCTCACTCATGGGAAGGCTCAACCCTCTGGCTGTCCTGTGAGGCTCAATCCCAACCATATCCTGCCAACTGTTATACAGGTGCTTACAGAACAAAACAAGACAAAATAAGCCCAAACTGAAAACAACATGAAGAAAAAACAAAACAACAATCAGAACAGAAACAACAACAATAAAATAATAGAATATGAAAAGAAAAAAAAAGATACTAAAAGACATGAGACCAAAAAATTAGGGAAGAAAATAGAAACCAAAAAAGAGAATCTGAAGGAAAAGAAAGACAAAAGATGAAAATAAGAAAATAAATGAAGTATTAATAATAATAATGAAAAATAATAAATAATAATGTAAAATGAAAAATAGAATAGGAAAAGAAAAACAGGAAAAAAAGAAGAAAGTAAAGAGAATGAAAAAAAGAGAATGGATCTGCTCTTTGTGGAGCTTGCTGGATTTTGCTCTGATGTTGTTCGAATTGGCCACTTGGTGTGCTGATTCTAGGTCTTCTGGAGGTTCTCTGGTGCAGGCCAGTGTCAGTCACTGTCCCTGCCTGGCACTCAGCAACCTGTCTGAAGCTTGTCAGGGTGGAGCCCCAAGTAGTTCGGTGGCAATGCCTCCAGAGCCCAGGACTGGGTCTGTCTCTGGTTGTGCCTTGAATGTCCCTGCTCTGAGATGCTCTGCCTTACCCCATGAAACTGTGTTCCCTGGAGGAATCCGGGATCTGGCCAGGGTGGTTTAAACAGACAGTGTTGGGAGTGTTGTCTGTAACCTGTAGGAGGGGTGGCGGGTACTTCCTCTCCTTTCCAGGGCCGTGCTGGCTGAACTCACTAGGGACCTCTGTCTGCTTCCCGTAATGCAGCCGAAAAGCCCAGCCCGTGCTTGTCTGTCTCCTGGACAGAAGCCCACCCAGAAGACACAGTTGCAGTACTTCAGCTTTGCCTGGCTTTCTGGCTCCCCCTCACCACCACACCAAGTAGGAGGGGATTAAAAAAATTCATCCTCACTTGGCACTTTAATCTTTTCACATGGCTAGCCCCTGCTAAGTGGGGCCTCAGCCCAGCCTCCCCTCCGGGCCAAATGTCCAAGTCCGTGGCACCATCAAACTGAGCAGCTTTTCCAGCCCAACGCCATTCCCCTTTGCCTTGGATCAGAGCAGCATGGGGCAGACCTAGTAGTTTTGCAGGTGAGGGGACAGGGCGCCACTGGTGTGCTTGAGGTCAGCAAGACGGGTCCTCTTTCCCAATTCACACAGACCAGACCCTGTCTGGCTCTCTGCTCAAAGGTCTTCCCAAGAAAAGAGGGTCCCTCAGAACCACTGCTGGGTGTACTAATCAGACCCCTCCACTTGCCCCCCAGCTCTGCTGCATGGCCCCTCCAGCACGCACAGATTGAAGTTCACTTCCCAGGCTGGTGTTGAAACAAAGAAGTTGCTCTTTGCCTAGGATGGGTGTGGTCTGTCTCTCCCAGGTGGACAAAATCCCCACTGATCCCCACCACCTGATACTATGTGGGCTCCGCTTCTCTTCTCTGTTGTTCTGGATTGAGGATCCCTGTGTCGGTCTGAGACCACACTTCCAGAGGGTGGGGGCTTTGCTGCCATATCCTCCAGCTTTCTAGCTGTGCAACTGCGCAAGTTGACTCACCCTCTCTGCATCTTCTCTTGTCTTTCCCCACATTCCCTGCTTTCAGTATTTCAGATCAGCTACACTTCAGCTGGCTTTTCAAGCTGCTTGCTCTGCAGTTTGGCCGCAAGTCCAGTCTAGTGTTGGGAGCAAGCAAATGGAATTTCCAGCTACTCTGCAGTTGTCTTGGAATCCTATAGTTATGATCTTTAAAAATATTTTTCTTCTTAATGAAGTCCCTTCAACATTTCTTGTTGTACTGTTTTGGTGGCAATGAACTCCTTTAACTTTTTTCTTGTCTGGGAAGCTCTTTACCTCTCCTTTAATTTTTAAATGATAGCCTTACTGAGTAAAGTTGTCTTGGTTGTAGTTCCTTACTTTTTATCTCTTTGAATATATTGTGCCAATCCTTTCTGGCCTGTGAAGTTTCTGTTGAGAAATCAGCTGACAGTATTAGGATTGCTTCTAGGTAAGTAACTGCCTTTTCTTTTCTTTTCTGCTTTTAAGCTTTTCTTTTTGTCATTAACCTTTGCCATTTTAATTATGATGTGGTTTGGTGTGGGCCTCTTTGGGTTTATCTTTGGGACTCTCTGCGCTTCCTCAACTTCAATGGCTATTTTCTTTGCCAGATTAGGGAAGTTTTCCATTTCTTCAAATAGGTTCTCAATTCCTTGGTCTTTCTCTTCTCCTTCTGGTCTCCCTATGGTGTGAATGTTGTTAGGCTTGATGTTGTCCCAGAGGTCCCTTAAACTGTCCTCATTCTTAATAATTTGTTCGTCTTTTTTTTCCTGTTTTGATTGGGTGTTCTCTAATATGTTGTCTTCCAAATTGCTGAATTGATCCTGAGCTTCATCTAATCTGCTGTGATTCCATCTAGTGTATTCTTCAGTACAGTGTATTCTTTATTTCTGACTAGTTCTTGTTTATGGTTTCCATGTCCTTTTTTATGCTTACTATCTGTTGTAGTTTTCACTGAGTTTATCTATTCTTCCCCTAAGTTCCTTGTACATCCTTATAACCAGTGTTTTCAACTCTGCATATGGTAGATTGTTTGCCTCCATTTTGTTTAGTTCTTTTTCTAGAGTTTTTTCATGTTCTTTCATTTGGGACATGTTTCTTTGTGTCCCCATTTTGGCTGCATTTCTGTGTTTGCTTTTAGGTATTAGGTAGATCTGCTACATCTCCTAGTCTTGGAAGGGTGGCCTTATGTGGTAGGTCACCTGTGGCACCCAGTGGTGCATTCGCTCTGATTACCTAAGCTGAGTGCTCCAAGAGTGCCCTTCTGTGATAATTGAGTCTTGATTGCTGTTGTCATGTCAGTGGGTGGGATTGACCCTCAGGCTGACTGGTTATGAGGATTGGCCACAACCACAGCGAATGAGCTTCTGTGTGGGTGCTGACCTCACAGATTGGGAATTGCCTGAGTGGACTCTGATGCAAGCCACTTGTTTAGCTTATCTGTTGGGGTGTTGTGGTCTGAAGCCGGCCATTGGGTATGTTGTTTTGGGGGTCTGTTTAGAGGGACTCTGTTGCAGGTCTATGTTAGCCACTGCCTGTGACTGGCATGGGGTTACCTGGTAAGAACTACAAAGTGTTCTGTGGTTGGTAGCTTCCTGTTCTGGGTCTAGAGGTGCAGGGGATGGGCCATGCTGTGAACTGAGGCCTCCTGCCACCAGTTCCGAACTTTGGGCTGCTCAGTGAAAGGCACAGGGTATCCAAAGGCCTATAACTGCCTACCAGCTGCCCATGTGGCTCAGCTGCTGCAAGACTCTCAGCGGGTAGGTGAGTCGGGTGAGGCCAAATCGCAGGGAGTTGTCAGGCTCTGGCTAGTGAAGTTCATCAGAGTCATGCAGCTTAAGATTTGGCTGGAGGAAGAGGGCTCAACTCAGGGACAATGGCGGCTATCCCTCCACCCTTGCCCTGAGGCCACACAACTTGCTTCTCCCTGTATGTCTCTGTTGCCCACCCCCACACACAACTCCCCAGGTGCTGTCTGTCTGCCAGAGCCCATGGTAAGTGCCTGAGAGCAAGTGTATCTGTGCATGGGCCCTTTAAGAGAATGCCTGGGTTTTCCAGCAGCCTTTCATCTCACCTAGATGGATGGACTCCTTACTGATTTTCACAGCCAGATGTTTTGTGGGCTCTTCTTCCCAGCATTGATGCTCCGGGCTTGGGAGTCTAGTGTAGGCCTAGGACTCCTGGCTTCTCTGGGGAGACCTCTGTAGCTGAGATATCCCTCTGATTCTCAACCACCACACGGGGGTGTGGGATCAGCCTGTTCCCTATCTCTGCCCCTCCTTCGAGTCGCGACATGGCTTCTTCTTTATATCCTTAGTTATAATCCTGTTCAGTTAGTCTACAGATGGTTCTCCAGGTTGATTGTTCTACAGTTTAGTTGTAATTTTCATATGGTCATGGGAGAAACGAGCCGAGTTTACCTACTCCTCCATCTTGATAGGAAGTGAATCTGAATTATTTAATTAACTGGCCATCCAGTTTCTAGTAAACCAAGACAATATGTGTGTGTGTTTTAATGGCTTCTTGTTACTCCTCTCAACTATTGTTGGCAGGTCCTTCGGTGTGGTCCTGTGGGAAATCACCAGCTTGGCAGAACAGCCTTACCAAGGCCTCTCCAATGAGCAGGTGCTGAAATTCGTTATGGACGGAGGGTATCTGGATATCCCTGACAATTGTCCAGAGAGACTGTAAGTATAGAAAGGGGTGTTCATTTAAAAGGCATTGCATTTTGCACACATGTTTGTTTTGCATGTCATGTCTACATAAATGTTTGTTTGTGTATCATATTCTACATGCATTCTTGTGTTTGTATATCATGTCTGCCTGTGTGCTTGTGTTTGCATATCACATATACATGTGTGCTTCTCTTTGCATATTATGTCTAATGTGTGCTTGTGTTTGCATAGCATGTCTATATGTGTGCTTGTTTTTGCATCTTATATCTACATGTGTGCTTGTGTTTGCATATCATATGTTTACGTGGATGAGTGCTGGTGTTTGTAATTGTATGTATACATCCATGCTTGTGTTTGAACATATATGTGCATGCATGTTGGTATTTGCATATCATGTGTTCACATGCATACTTATGATTCTATATCATATGTCTACATGTATGCTTGTGAAGGAGAGTTGTGTGTGAGCTGCATATTTTATCTTTGTATGACCCTTGTGTTTGCATATCATATCTTTGGAAGGGAACTGGGGAGCTGGGATGGGAGACTTATGTTTAACTTTCTGTTCTTTATACACTTAAAGTTCTGTCATGAATGTAACACAATGTTATATTCAACTATATCTCAATAATACTGGAAAAAATAAGTCAGTAAGCATAAACATTAAAAAATATTTTGTTTTAAATATTTGTTATGGGACCAAATGGACAACACATACCATTAAACACTTGCAAAATTATTCAGCCCCACTAATAGTTCAATGAGTATAAAATAAAATAAAGAAAATACTCTCTTCCTTAATTAGCAAATAAAGGAAGGAAGGAAGGAATGGAGAGAGGGAGGGAGAGGAAGGAAAGCAGGGTGAGTCTTAACACTCAGTATTAGCAATGGCATGGCTAGATAACCATTCTTATTGCCCCATTCTAAGAGCTACTCGGAGCAATTTAAAGTCTCAAAAAATTGAAATGATCTAAAAATTGATCAACAAAATGAAAATTGCCAAGTAAATTGTACATTAATATAATGTTATAGCAGTTGAAATTTCAAATGATGCTTATAAAATGTTTTAAAGCCAGGCTGGAGTGGCTCAGTGGTTGACGGTCAACCTGAGCCAGGAGGTCATGGTTTGATTACCAGTCAGGGCACATGCCCAAGTTGTGGGCTCTATCCCCAGTGGGGGGCATGCAGGAGGCAGCTGATCAATGATTCTCTCTCATCATTGATGTTTCTATCTCTCTCTCCCTTTCTCTCTGAAATCAATAAAGATATATTTTTTAAAAAAATGTTTTATAACTCAGTGGATAAACCTATTAATATATTAAGTGAAAAAAGCGTGTGCGTATTACATTTCCAAATATGTCCAGGTAGAAAAGACAAGAGCTTATATCTGAAGGAGAGTTGTGTGTGAGCTGCATTTCCTCTATATTTTGGGGTGTTTTTTAACTTTCTAGAATGAGCATTTATTACATAGAAAATCTGTTATCAGTGTTTCTTAAGAAAAAAATTTGACCTGAAAATTTATGGGGAGAGGCCATTTCTTTGCTCCATCCCAATAGAATAAGACATCAACTTAAAGATCTGGTTTGAAGAGACTTGTATGGAAAAAAGTATGATGCAGAGTCATTTAGAGTCTCTGAGCCAAGTGTTTTGAAACATTGCCTCACGAAGATCCTTTGCTAGGCAGGCCAGTTAGCAGCCAGCTGTGGTTCCAGGCCCAGGGAGATTCAGGAGGCCCGAGGGCAGGAGTCTGCAGACTTTTTGTAAAGGGCCATTTGTAAGTAGCTTTGCTTTGTGGTCCATGCTTTTCTCAGTTGTAGCTCCTCAACGCTGCCACTGTAGCTGGAAGGCAGCCATAGTTATGTGGTTGTGTGCCAATGAAAGGTTATATACAAAAACACTCAGGGAGCCAGGTTTGGTTCAGGGATTAAAGTTTGGCAACCTTGCCCTAGAAGAAGTGGGGAAAGGAAGAGGTGAAATGGAAATCGTAAGCCCTCAGCCCCTGTCCTGTTTGCTGTTGGCTGAGTAAAGTTGTGATGCTTTCTGGCCATCCTCGAAAGAGTGACAGCTGGGCCTGCAGGACGGCCCTCTGGCTTCAGTCCACAGAGCTACAGCTGCCAGGTGTGAGGATACATCAAATGAGGAACTGGTCTTCAACATGTGGCAATATCAGGAGAGGCCCTTCTTTTAAAATATATATATATTTACTGATTTCAGAGAGATAGGGAGGAGAGAGAAACAGAAACATCAGTGCTGAGAGAGAATCATTGATCGGCTGCCTCCTGTATGCCCCCTCCCCCCCCCCCCCCCCCTGGGGATCAAGCCCACACCCAGGGATGTGCCCTGACTGGGAATCAAACCTTGACCTCCTGGTTCATAGGTTGAGGCTCAACCACTGAGCCACGCTGGCCAGCTGGAGAGGCCCTTCTTGAAATGGTTCTGGAATAGGGCAGCCTCTTGGGCCCTCTTTTTAAAACCCCCTTTCAGCACCAGTAGACTTGCTTGCTTCTGCTTGATGGTTACCTGCACATGTAGTCGCTGCCTGAAATGAACAGGTCATCTGGGCTGTGAGCCACTGGGGGTGGCGGGACTGCTTGGCTGGACTCCTGGACTCACCCCAGCATTTCTCTGTGTCCCGCAGCAGTGAACTGATGAGCATGTGCTGGCACTTCAATCCCAAGATGAGGCCGACCTTCCTGGAGGTCGTTGACCTGCTGAAGGACAACCTGCACCCCAGCTTTCCGGAAGTTTCCTTCTTCTACAGCGAGGAGAACAAGGCACCTGAGAACGATGAGTTGGAGATGGAGTTTGAGGACATGGAGAGTGTACCCCTGGATCGGTCCTCACACTGTCAGAGGGAGGAGGATGGGGGATGTCCGCTGGCCCTAAAGCGGAATTACGAGGATCACATGTCCTACAGCCACATGAATGGGGGCAAGAAAAACGGACGCGTCCTGACTCTGCCACGGTCCAGTCCCTCCTAACGGCACCTGTTTTGGGGAGGGAATCCCGACTTCACTCTCCTCTGGTTTGACGGTCTCCAGAAAACTCAGGATTTTCCCACAACTCTGCCAGTGTCCAGTGGAGCTAAGAGATCATTACTCTCCATTTCTGTTTATGGTACAACTTAAAACATCTGTTTGATCGCCAATCTGACTAGTGATCAGAGAATGTAACCGTGAACGTAGAGAGAAGGGGTCCTTTCCAGCAACTGCGGGCTCAAGCCAGGGTGTTACTTCTTTTTCTAATCAATTGAAAGAAAGCACCTGTTTTTACAAAGGCTTTTTCTTTTCTTTTCTTTTTTATTTTCATTTTATTTTATTTTTGCGGACAGGGGCTGGTGTAACTTGTTTGTGGAACAAAAGTTTGAAAGAAAGAAAAAAACATACAAACCCTGTTCTAGTAGAATTCAAAGCTTTATGAAGTGGATTTTAGGAAGGTTTTTCTCATTCAGGCTGAACATTTTTTTTCCTTCACAAAAGTAGTTTCTCAAATTGACCAATAGCTGCTGCTTTTGTACTTTTGATAAGATTCTGCAGTCCCAGGCGTGTGTGCATGTGTATTCAGAGTAGACACGGCTGGTGTGTGTGTGTGTGCACGCGCGTGCAAAGCACTCATGCTGAGATGAAGTTTGGGGATTGGCTCATGAAGGTTCCACTTTTCCGTGTGTGTGAGCATCCTGGCTCCCCCCGTTCTCCTTCCTCACTGAGCGGCTGTGCCTCGGCAGGTTCTCATGTGCCCTAGTCCTGCCTCAGGAGTCTTCTCTCCCTTAACTTTGGTGAAAATGTTTCTCTAGGAGCAGAGGGGTGGTTTGGAGTGATAATGGGTCTTTTCAAGGCCAAACAAAGCCAGGACATAACAAAGAAAAGGAAAAGGAAAAAAAACCTCCCGAGATGACAAAGAGTTTTGAGAATATATTTATAACATATTTAATTTTTTAACAATCTCCAGTCAGCCTCATAAGTTATTGACTGTTTCCTTGGTTGTGGGAGGGCTGGTGTTGGTCTGCCTGTTGGGTCTGAGGAGCAAAGCACCAGGAGCCTCCTTGCTTGGTCTCCAAGGCATAAAGCCACACTCGCTGCTAGCCCTTTGGGTGTTGTGAGGCCACGCTGAGGGGGTGGGCAGTTGGGTTTGATGAGTGGCTAGGTTTCTGCTGGGGAAGCTGGAAGACACCCGGAGCCGAGCCCTGCCTTCGAACACACATGTGGCTCCCGGATCTCCTGCTTCCGTGTGCACCTGTGTTCTTCCCCACTGGGTGCGCACGTCCTCAGCTGTTCTGCAGACACGACAGTCAGGTCCCAAGGTGTGATGGCACAAACGGACTTAGAGAACGCTAAGCAGTACGACCGAGAGGCACCTGCCAGGCCGTCCCCTCCATCCTCAGGGCACCCAGCTGTCCTCAGAACTGACCTCCCACGCTGCTCTGTGCTGGGCCAGCTGTGGGGCCTGAGCAGAACTCCCAGCTGCCCTGGATGTTGCAGTCCCTTAAGGAAGTAGAGCCCAGGGGAGAAACCGCTAAGGACCGTCACACTCCCCAGAACTTCCAGCCCAGGGAGAAGCCAGCTTCTTCCCTTTGGGGAGAAGAACCACAGCTGCTCAAATAAAGGACACGGTGAACCTGTCGCTTCGGTTCATCGGAATCATCACCCGGGTCCCTGAGTGCGTTTTCTCACAAGTTTCGCTGGCTTCCTTCTCCTCTTAAAAGTTGTGGGCTTAACAACAGATAGAGATGCAGTGGCAACTCCAAACCTCTCCACTCCTGGTCAGAACACAGGGCGACACAAATCCCCATTGTCTATTGCTCTCTTATCGAGACCATTTTCGAAATCAGAGCACGTGAAATATTTCTGGGAGCCTCCATGATTGGGTACAAGGCGCAAGAGTACAGAAATTCTTTACACCAGATTTACTCTGTACATAGAAGAGGGTCTGTACGTACATTAAAAAACAAACACGTAGGCCTAGGTATTTAGTTCTTTTCATAGTAAATTAATAGTGGCTATAGACTGTACTTGCAGCAATTTTCACGTTTTTCTAATTCAGAAAGGTTTTCTTACATTAGGGGGAAAATAATTTATTTTAATATATAAAATCACTGTAAAAATCACTTTCCTAAAAAAAAAAAAAAAATGGAGGGCACATACATTTTTATCAAAGAAAAATAAACAGGTGAATGTGGGGCAATGATTCTTTTCCAGCACAGTCTACCTCAGCATTGTCAGGATGAGGTTCAAGAATGGACATTTCCGAGGCTTCAGATTTCTGCCAGGATCCAATCTGCATCAGGGAAAATCTGTATCGGCTGATTCCGAATGCCAGGGACCAGTCAGAAATTTGAGGGAGGGGTTTGGGATAAAGTGTGGCCTTTTGTGAGCACAGATCCTTTTTTCTAACAGGTAATCATCTTCTCTGATTTTAATTTTCCTTTTTTTTTTTAATCTCCATTGACACCATGCTTCCCAAACAGGAACCAAATGTGAGGCCATTGTTACGTATCTGATGTGCGGGCGCCCAGACCTGAGCCGCCCCCCTGCGGAGGGAGCTGCTGCCTGTCCCCCCGGGGTAGAGCCGGCCTTGTTGCCCAGCTGGCATCCCCTTGGCGTGAGCACCAACGTGCCCCCTGGCTTATCCTTTCCGGCTGAGATGCTACTTGAGGGTGGACCCAGTCACACTCATGGGCACCTCACATGCAAACACGCAATGACTGCCTCCCAGGAGGTATTTGAGGAATCTCAACCCCAAACCCACCAGCATACGGAACACATTTTAGCAACAAAACCTTGCGCCCCCTGTTGTAGTTTGATTTCAAGCTGATGCTGTTTGACCTTGTGGGGCTTTGAGAACCCGTGTGGATGTCTGGACGGGGCCTGTCGGGCTACTGTCATAGTCACCAAGCCTGGCTGCCCTGGTCATGCCTCTAGGCACCGCCCCTGCGGATTCACTGTCCGCTTGCCCTGGAGAGGCAGGCGGAGTGCTGGGCAGCCCTTGCAAATGGGGTTTGACAGGCTATTTAGCTGTCTCTGCCGCTGCAGTGTGAGCAGCTGTGGGGTCACAAACCTTTCGAAACGAGGTTGACTCTGACAACAGAACTTTGATCCTAGAAAGTCATGGTGTCCTGGGGGTTGTAGTCACGGCTTACAAAGCGGCAACGCCAGCTTGGGTTGACACTTTTGGTTTGTTTTTAAAGATGTCTCCCTATTATGAAAACTTTTCAGTCACGTGGTGAAATCCACATCGTTTCTTTTGGAAAGAGAACACATTACTCTCTCCCTGGACTGGTGACGCCCCAACACGTTGGGGAGCTGTCCTGGGTGCTCTCCCGTTCTTTCAAGCCGGGAGGAAGGGAGAAAGGCTGCTGTTCCCTTGGAGAGACGGTGAGCTGCTGAGAGAAAATTCGGGAACTGACGCAAGGGCCTGGGCATACCACCCAGGACCACGCAGACTGCTGCCAGCACGGACAGAGCTGTCGCGTCTCCCGCAGGAGCGGACGGCTGCCGGGAGATGTGCCTGCTCGGCGGGAGGCTGTTTGCGTGCAGCCGTGTAACATTGGCCAGTGGCGTGGCCCCTGCCAGCCGGCGGGTAAGGGGCTGTGCTGTAGTCTCAGCGACAATCATTTTGCTTTGGTGGACGTTTGGTATTAAAACCTTTTGGATGCTTTTCTGGCGAGTCCTTGACACCTCAGGCGATTCAGAAAAGATGGTTTTGTTGGAGGTGGGGGGTGAGGAAAGACTGGTTGTATATAAAGGGTGCATGTAGAATGGTGTCCTTTGAGAAAACCTTCCAGAATGTTTTTCAGAATTCTCATTTGCGCTGGAGGTGAGGTTGGAAATGGAAAGAAGATTGGCGCGTGTTCGTCTCAAACACATAAAAAAAGTTGCAGGGGCTGCAACTGAAGGCGAATGTTTCCTTACGGTCACCCCATGGGAAGCAATGACTGTCCTCTGTCACCTGGTTCCAGAGAAGGTCCGGAACCAACCTCCAGCCAGACTTTCGTTTGGGCGTGCGCCCTGTAAGTCCCTTTAAAAACAGATCGTGAGTCTGAGGCTCTTCGCTCCGTTTGAGAAGGAAGGAGTAGCCCCCAAGATGAGTGTGTGACAAACGGCTTTCGTTTTCCCACTTCATGTGTCTGGGGAGGTTGGCCTCAGCCGTGTGTCAGCAGGAGACACCTCCGTCCACCCTCAGCCTCACAGGATCAAATGTGCCTCGGCTTACGTGGAAAAAAACTTGGAAACACAAAACACACCAAATAGCTCAATTATCATTATTTTCAATGTTTTTCTATAAGAGCCAAGTAATGCCATGTATAGAATATGCCTTTGGGGGGTGGGGGTATTGAAATCGCTCTGCATGTAAGACATGGGGTAATTACCTGTTTATATGAAAATTCTGAATAAATTATCTGAGAATAGTCTTGTTTTCGTGTGGTGTCCAAGCAAGGACCTATGCGCTGTGTGGTGTGACTATGGGGTGGGCTGTGTTGAGGGAAATCCGGGAAGTTGTGGGACAAAGCCCGAGGGTCTTCAAAGCAATGAAGCAGGAGGTTAAGTATTGTCACCAGCAGGCCTGGCGTTGCACGGGTACCTGCCTGCACAGCTGAGTTGGTGGCTTAAATCATGAACTGTTTCCACACCAGTTGGTATATAACTGCTCCACAAGGACCCTGGACCTGCCATGACCCCAGCACTAGGATTCATTCCAAGAATACCAGGGGGCCTCTGGGATCTTGCTCCATTTCAACAGGCTAGAGACTTACATGTTAAATATTTTCAGTGTCATTCTGGGAACATGCCCTGTCCCCAGGGTGGTGGCCAGTGTGGCACTGCAGATTCAACATCCTTTCTTGAGCTGAATAAAGAGTGCTGTGGGCAAGGAGACAGACTCCCTGCCTTCACCAGCCTGTGTGACTTTGAACAAGTCACATTATTTCTCGTGTTAGTTGTTGCCGTGTAACAAACAGTCCCGGAACTTAGTGGCTTAGAACACCACATTTATTTTTTAGTTCTGTGTGCTAGTTAGGCAGCCCCCAGCACAGTTTCACTGCTATGTCTGAGGCCTCTCCTGGGGCAGGTGGGATGGCTCATCTTCCAGGAAGCTAGCTGGGGCTTGTTCATACGGCGGGGGTTGCGGTGTATCCCTGGATGAGAGAGCAAGCCCCAAATATGCAAGCACTTTCCAAAGTTTTGCTTGTGTAGTGTTTGCTACTGTCCCATTGCCAAAGGGTTGAGTCAACATGGAGTGAGAATGGGGAGGGGCCATAGGAGGGTTGGATACAGGAAGGTGTGAACCAAC